GATATATATATATATAAAGCTTGCATGTTTTAAAACTGTAAACCTGCAGTGTGTCTTCTGCAGCTGGTATTTTAGGTTCAGCATTAGGCTGAGGTTCAGCCATGTTGTTGTGTAGTGGAATTTATTCGTTGCTCTTGGGATTGCATTTAGAGACTGGAACACAATTTGTCATTCTGCTCTTAGCGACCGTGGCGGTTTTAAGCGGTGCCCTCAGCGCGTCTGTCTTGTCTCCTGTTGTGACAGGCGGAGTCTCCAGGGTACTGTCCACCTAGTAGTGGAATTGCAGGGTCACAGGAGGTGTAAGTAATTTCACCGGATGATGCCAAACTGCAGCATCAACAGAAGGGATGCCCAAAATTCCAGCAGTACTTGATACTGTCAGATTTCAAGTGTTTTACCGGTATGGTATGAAACGACTGTAACTTGAAATTTGTAGGGCTCGGATGTAGCGCTGTGGCAGAACGTGTGCTTAAAATGCTGGAGGCTCTAGGTTGGTCTCCAGCACCACAAAAAAAGAAGACTACTTTGTTCAGAATACTAGTAAAGGTAGAAAGTTTTGCAGAGGCTTATTGGCCATTTTGGTGAAGTAACTAATGTTTTGTACATTTTTCTTTTGAATTGATCTGTATGTGTGCTTGAGTGTGCCCATGCTCATGTGTGTCTGTTCTGGCTATTAAACTTCTCTTAATTATGTGTTAAAAATATCATCTCTTGATTTTCCTGTCACTCTATAGTGACTTTATTATTTACATATTGGTAGTACTGGGACTTGAACTCAGGGCCTTGCACTTGCTAGGCAGCTGTTCTATCACTTGAGCCATGCCTCCAGCCCTTTTTGCTTTAGTTATTTTTCAGGTAGAGTCTCCTGCCTTCACTTTGGGTTGGCTTAGGACTGCAGTCTTCCTCCCCCTGCCTCCTGCCCTTTGGGATTATAGGAATGTGTCAGCACTCCCAGCTTGCTCTTTAAGATAAGGGTCTTGCTATTTTTTGTCTAGGCTGGCATCCTCCTGTCTCTGCCTCCCAAATAACTAGGATTATAGGCATGAGCCACTCTGCCTGGCCTTAATATCTTTAAAGTTCTCATTTAATATAACTGGTTTATACTGTTTGTGTCTTACACACAAAATCTCTCCAGTGTTATATAAATGCTATCATGGTTTAAAAGTTTTGTGATTTTGCTCCTCACATTTAAGTCTTGAATCCATTGTAATTGATTTGCACTACTGCATACCTATCCAAGGTTGTGGTCCAGATTCTTTTATTTCATAAGCAAAATGACTAGCACCATTCTTTGGGAAACCTATTTTGTGGTAGTCTCAGTGCCAGCATCAGAAACCACGTGGTTTGTGTGCATGTCTCTGGAGCCGCTCTTTGACGTTTCGTTTTTTAAATTTATCTCTGTGCAGACCCTAAGCTATTAATATGGGTTACACTACTCGCTCTCTGATAAGGCTGACCTCTTGTTCTTGAGGAGTGTTTGGCTTTTTCTGCCTTTCCTATTTTCCAAATGTTCTAAGAGCTAGTTGAATGTATAATTAGGCAAGAAAGACAGAATCAAGGCTGTTTACATATTTCGATCAGTAATCCTGAGAAATAATGGATTCACTTGGATTTTACTTGATCAAAGTTCACAAAATTTAGAGATGAGAATTTTATGCTGTCTTTTCTTTATCACAGTGTCTAGAAACTATATTAATGTAGACATGATTTTAAACCTGTGTGGGTGGTTGTGCTGTTTTTAATCACAAATTTAATTAACATTGAACTTGGATCACTTCCCTGAGCAGTAATATGGGTAATGCCTGACCAGTGAAGCCACATAAGAGTATAATTAGATCTCATGAAATAATGGTCTCGAATTATTTTAAGTGCTGGTAATTTTTGGTAATATGCAGGCCTATGCACAAATATGAAAAGGGAAACTCAGCTGGGAGTATGTATGCTGGAAACTCTGTACCCAGAGGCAGGGATTTTAATGCATACATTCAGCCTGGGAAATGTGTTGTTTATTAAATAAAACAAAGAAAACAAGAATCATCATGGTGGGAAACAAGGTCCCAGATGAGGCTATGGGGCTACTGTTTCCTGCTCTGGGTAGCCCTGAGGTCCACTCTGAGAATTCATTCCCCTTACCCAGATTACAAACTTCCCATTTCCTGTCGCTTGTCTCTGCCACCTCCCCCCATGCTGGAGCTGCCAAACCAAAGCAGTTCAACAGATAAAGAACCGCTAATTTGAAGAACACAAGAGCTTGCCAGTAAACAGCTTCTTCCGGTGTAGTGCTACTGGGTAGAGATGATTGGAACGTTGCCAGCAGAATAAAAACTGGATGAGCCTATTATTGTACCATATCCATTAGGGCTAAGCCTCAACATCAAGTCAACCCATCCTTGTCTTTCTTCTGCAGCTACATAGCTTCAAAGAGAAGGGACGAGTGCAGTAGCCACACAAGAATTTTGTAGGTGACAAGATTTTTTGAACCAGTGCCTGTAATTGTAAAATAAAGCAGAGAGGGGTTGGCAGCTGTGCAAGTTTAGGCATTCAGACAGGATGTCACAAAGGGATGCATCTCAGATCTGTTCTCATCCCTGCTGAATTATCAATGGTGACAATGTTACCACAGCTTAAGTGCCCCTTGTTAAACTTTATTATAGAGGCAGAAACTGTTATGAAAGGATAAAGATGTATTCCAGGTGAGAAAAAACACCCCTAACATTTTACTGAGAAACTGCTATATTCAATGTAGTTACAGTATTAAGGACTTTAAACTTTTTCCAGAAGAATTAAATGTCAGGAACCCAGGTTGGCCTACTCAAGTCACTAAGTGATAATTAAAAAACATCCAAGCAGAAGTGCACAAAAACTACAATATACAGAATGAAAGACGTAGTCTTTGCCTTTTGACTGCTGAAGAGTGGGGTGTCAGGCCTGCGCATGGCTTTTCTTTCACAGGTCATAGCTGCGGCTCTGGAGTTGAGGTTCAAGGTGGGTTAGAAAATGTACTGAGCTGAGATTACTGATTGGCTACCTCGGGGCTTCTCCAGGTCTAAGCTGCTGACTTGAGAGAAGCAGAGGCAGATGGACTTGATCACACCTTGTGTCCAGTGCCTGTGTCCACATGAACTTGAATCACAGCAGAACCAAGGTCTCCTGGGGTCCCAGCCAGTGCTCTTCTCAGACCCGTTATCTCTATAGAGGCCACTTCAACAGGGCTCCTCAGGATTCATGGAGGGTTTGTTTGCACTTCTATTTATTATAAATATTTTTGGCGGTACTGGGTTTGAACTCAGGCTTACACTTGATAAGCAGACACTCTACCACTTGAGCCACACCCCAGCACTTTTCACTGTATTTTTCAGATAGGGTCTGTTTTTTACCCAGGCTAGTCTTGGACCATGATCTCATACCTGCGCCTCTCACGTGACTGGGATGTCAAGTGTACATCACTGTGCCTGGCTTATTTGTTGAGATAAACTTTTTGCCCAAACTGGCCTAGAACTGTGATCCTCCTGATCTCCATGAGTAGCTGGGATTACAGATGTGACTCACCACATCCAGCTTAAGGGTTGCTTTTTACACTAGGTGGAGCAATGGGAACCTCGGTTCCAGTCTAGCTTTGCTTTGGCACCTGTTAATTACAGCTGGAAGTTCAGGAGAAGGAAAATTTTTTGGCTCCAAGGAAACTTGGAAGTATTTACAGAATGAAGAAATGAGCTGGCTGGGTGCTGGTGGCTCATGCCTGTAATCCTAGCTACTCAGGAGGCAGAGATCAGAAACAGCAAGGTTCAAAGCTAGCCCAGGCAAACAGTTCACAAGACTGTTCTTGAAAATACTCAACACAAAACAGGACTGGCAGAGTGGCTCAAGTAGTAGAGTGTCAACCTAGCAAGTATGAGGTGCTGAGTTCAAACCCCAGTTTTGAAAAAAAAAAAAGAACCAACCAACCAAATGAGCTGAAAAACTTCTAAAATGCTAGATAGAGAATTGGATAGAGACTAATGGGTCTAGGAAGCCATCCCAAGGTTGGCTGGGGAAAAAGATGGGGCCTGTGGGCACTAGCATGTAGGGAATGTGAGCTGCCATGTGGAGTGCAAAAACTGCTATGGTAAGGATGAGAGGGCAGCTGGGGGACCACGCACCCCAGAGCACTGCTGGGACTCTGACTTTTGTTCTGTTGGCAACGAGAGTGGAAATACATCAAGTGCTAGCACAGAGAGGCAGCAGTGGGGCAAACAATGGCTCTTTTCTCTCAAGTGGAGCACAAAAGGATTGAGTACACTGCAGCCTCAATTGCATTTTAGGGCTTTTAGCAAGTGACAGTACAGGGAACATGATACTTAAAAATTTTTAATGGAAGCTGGGGGATGGCTCAAGTGGTAGAGCACTTGCCTAGCGTGCTTGAGGCCATGGGTTCAACTTCCAGTGCCACACACCACACAAATTAATGAGCGCCTTGTTATATTTTGGAGAAAGGCATGTTATGATACAGGTTTAGAGTATAAAGAAATGCTGTGGAGGATATGATCAGAGCCCTGCAGGCACAACGCAGGAGCTGAACTGGAGGACAGTGAACGCAATGACAAGAGAAAGATGCAAGATTGCGTAAGAGAAAAATCAACATGAACTGTACTGATTAAAAAGGTTCAGGATTGAAATTCTGAGAGTGAATGATAGCAGTGACAAGGAGTAAATTAATTATTTTGCTGCTTAAAACATTCTGCCCAAGTCAACTTCTCTGTTTATAACTGCATTTCTACATTTAGATATTGAACATTCATATTTTAGCGTTAGGGAAAAATGAGGGCTTCTCCATGTCAGTGTGAAGCTCTTTCTTAGATAAAATACTCTACCTGGTGACACTTTTATTAGCCAGTTGTTCTAACACAAAATGTAGGTAAAGCATTTCTGAAAGGCCAAAGTTACTTACTTGTTATAAAGTCAATGCTATGTAAACATTAAAGAGAAGACGCACAAGAGAAACATTAAATAAAAGGTTTTGTTTTTATTTAAAATAAAATGCATTTATACAGTCTTTAAACCATGGATTATTGGACAATACTGGTAATCACCCCTCCCTGGCACCCTCTTGGGCTGTGTGAGCTAGGAGTTTTCTGACTAGCACCAATGCAGATTGTAACAGCGCGAGAGACTGGAATACGGCCAGTCCAGACGTTAGAGTTAAGGACATTGTGGCAAGTCATGACCATAATGAAGTCATTCTTAATTTAGCAGATATTAAACTGCATATTAATTATATATTTTAATGCAAGGATGCTACATGTAAGCCATTTGCTAGTTGTGAATAGTTTTTAAAAAACTGTACAATTTTATAAAATTTGTGTTTGTACATTAGTTACACAAAATGCATACTTCATAGACCTTTACTTCATATTGTAATGCAAAAGGTGCATATTTAGGCAGACAGTGAATATGCTGGTGAAGACTAAACGTTCTGTAATACAGTATGGTGTGAAAACAAAACACAGGACAATATACACACATGCTTATTCAAGGACAAAAACCAACCAAGCATGACAGATAAACAGCATTTCCTTCAAGGTCAAACAATGACACTTCAAATATCAGGCATCTTTTGCAAGCCTGATTTCATATTGGGGGGATCAAATGGCTACTAGAAGTAGGATATTTTAAAACAGGACATCAAATAAAAAACACACATTAAAAACATGCATTAGACATGATAAATAGACTTCATATAGGTTAAGCCCTGGGTAGTTTTAGAGTACATGGCTTGTTGCTTATAGATTGGCTAGTTTAAATCAGTGACAGTTGGTTCCTGATTTGCCCACTACTTCAGTTTTCAATTCATGGCCCTAAGGAATGTGCCATATTCAACAGTCCATATATTGTATCATGGTAGCAGATTAATAGTCGTGCTTGTTAGTGCACATATTAACTGGTCTGGTAAGGCAAAAAAGTTTTTCATGATAAAATGATAAATTTCAAGCTTACTTTATTAAGCAGCATATAATAAACAACAGCTTTAAAGTTAAATATGGTTATGGCCGTGAAGTTCCATCACACAGTGTTTCTGTTCACACCCAACCACTGGTGAGCTTGTAGAACATCTCCTCATCCAAGCTCTCATTCTGGTCTTTCGCACGTGTTGAGAGAAATATGTAGCCACCGATGAATTCATGAACCACTTTGCAATCTACCTCAGTACAAATGAACGACAACCGGACTTCATCTGCAAACTCTACAGTGACCTAGAGCACGACAAAGAACTCTCATTAGTCCAGCAAAATTCCAGGTGGCTGGGCCCCAGCGAAACTACTGTGCTGTTTAAGGTCTGCCCTAACACAAAATATTTGTTAATATTCAAATAATTACTCTTTAAAAATACTAAAGTAATAATGTCTTTAATTCCCAAAGAATAAGGGAAGTATAGCAGCCCCTCCTCCACTTCCTCCTTACTTTGCAAGTTCTGAAAAGGAAGCCTGAGGGCAAAGGCTTTAGGTCATTAAGTTCCCAAGTGGTCTCTGGTGATTCAATTAATGAGAATGTCTCCAAAGCCTGGGAGAAAACCTACTTCCTGTGTTTTATTTAATATCTGCTTCCATACTTAACCTTTAGGTGTCATGTTTGTGTTTTTTCAGAAACAAGAGCTTTACTAAGTGATAAGAATGGATACAACATATCCAATATGATCTTAAACCAAATGACTTACTAGTAAAAGACTGTTTTAAATGACTGTCACGTACTCCAAGGGTAGGCACATCATGGTATACAGTAGTGAATCTGCCAGGTTTTAGAGCCTATCTCATTTTGAACATAGATTCTGTTACTTGCTAAGTATGGGGTCATGGCCTCTACATTTGAGTATCTTCTTTTGTAAAGTATGATGAGTTTAGAGACAGGGTACACATGTAAGCATCTAGTACCATGCCTGGTGGCTCTCTGGTGGCTGCTCCTGTAAGTGAAGGGACTTGCCCATTACAGGGCCACCTCAGTATTCTCAGCAAACTGCTCTGTCCCTAAAACTGTAGCTTTGAAACAGGCAAATGTAAGTGAGAAATGAATAATCAACCACGTATCTATACTTCAAGAGGTAATGGTAAAAGTAATCTTTAGAACTGCTAAGGCCATTTTTATCTTTAATTTACTAATTTTCATGAAATGACTATCTCAGGCAACACTGTTAATCAGCTTACCATTTTGATCTCCCAGTTCACATTCCACTGCTTCATGTTGCTGAACCGCCACGTTTTCATGGCATCTCCGGTGCTGGCGTCCATCCGGATCAACCTGTTGTATGCAATTCCAATGAGCTCTTCTTTTTTGCCCCCTTGGAACCTGAAACATCGGGGAAAAAACCCATGACCAAACATTTAAACACATAGGGACATTTTTCTTCAAGGTAAGTGCCCTCTAGCCCTTAAAAAAGTGTTTGTGTAAAACAGAAATGCAATAATTGAGTTTTTAACATAAAATTAAAAGTGTAGAAAATACATTGTAACATTCCATAAATTTGACTGTACAAAAGTTGGTGTGTCTAAGTAAGTGTTTTAAACATTTAATTTCTAATTATGTGAACATGCAGATCACGGTCAATATGTAGGAGTTACTAGAACCACTGACCTTGCGATGAAGTGTGTGATGCCAAATTCAGGCAAGGACTGCCATGCTTGAATGAACCTCATCTTAGCTTCGATCAGACTCATCTGAGCTACATTCTGATGGGCCTCCAAGATTCTTGCTGTTATCTAAATATGATTAAAGTGGACTTTACCATTACGCATCATTTTTTCACAGTAGAATCAAGACAAAAAAGATTAAGTCTGAATTATGTGTGTCACCACAAAATCATGTATTGTAAGAGCTGGAATTAGGGAATGTCCAAAGCTACATTTGGAGATCTTAATAAAGTAATCATTTATTTTTCAAAATAAAATATATTCTTAAGTTTTCATGTGTTAATAAACAAGTACTCTTAGAAGAGTACCTAACTGTCGCACTTGAGAAACAGCCCAAGCGCAAACACATGGTATACCATATTAATTGTTTTTTTAACATTTTTATTTGAGGGTACCTGGTACTGAACTCAGAACCTCACTCTTGCTAAGCAGGAGCTCTACCACTTGAGCCACACCCCAGTCCACGATATAAGATAGTATACTCCAATCTAAATATACAAGATGAATTTCAATTTAGCAGCAAGGTATCATTGGAATGAGTATCTCAAATACAAATTTCTAGGGCTGATGAGTGGCTCTGGGCAAGGCCCTGAATTCAAAGCCCAGTGCTGCAAGAATATCATTTTCTGTTAACCTAATATTGAAATTGCTAAGATTTGAAAATTTTCATTGCTTTTGGAGGAAAATTAATTCACTTTTAGAAACAAGTTTCTAGCAGAAAATACTTGCCAGCAGCTTTAAAGTACTCAAAATCATCCAAATAATTTTAGGAAAAAATTTTTTTTGTGGTGCTGGGGATTCAGTTTAGGGCCTCCACATGTAAGACAAGTACTCTACCACTGAGCTACACCCCCAGTTGTATTTTTTAAAAAATAAGTCTAAAGTGATCATCAGAAAAGTTTAAAAAATTTTAAATTATGTTCACTTTGGGATGACTACTTTCACCAGGGATTAGGCTGTGGTTATTGCCTTTTAAAACATTATTATTTTTTTTTTTGGTAAATATGGAGAACTTACCAAATCTCTTACATAGCCTGGCTGTAGATGGCAATGCGAGGAAAGAAAGAGGAAGCGGAAAGAAAAAAAAAAGAGGCAATCAGAAAAAATGGCAATGAAGCAAAGAAAAAGTTGCGGTAACCTGCAAACCAAAATTCCAGCCAAAACCATGCAAAAAACTACTATAGGTAGAAACAAGCCAAGTGAATGAAAGAATGAAAATGAGAACAAGGAAGCAGCAATTAATTACTTTCTATTTAGAATGCTGAATCACTATGTATTCTAGAATGTTAAATATTACTAAAATTAAGGACAGAAATTTGTAGGAAGAAAATGAAAGAGCGGATACCTCTTTCTCCCCTTCGTGTACCAGAGTTCTCACTGGTTAGGCTGAAGCTAATTATTTTAGTAGCAAACTAGAAAATAATATTCAAAAGCCTTGGCAGTCTTCTCAGATTTAGTCAAATAATATGATACGTGCACTGCTTTTTAGAAGGGGAGCTGAAGGCACAAGGTAAGTGCAGTGCCCATACTGATTCTTCATTTATACAAGGAAAACAAGCCCCTCAATTACCATCTGTTTTTTGCATCCTTTTTCCTGGAAGGAAACATAAAGAGATGCCGTACACTATACTATGAAATGTGGCTATAAACATATTAGTCCATTTCAATTTGGATTAACAGAGATAAACACATAGGATAACTCTAAAATTAAAAAAAAATCCAGTTTGAATCACTTAATTTAAAAATATCTCAGGAAGTTTAGTTAATATATGTATGATTTAAGGAGACTAAATTAAATTACGCCAAAGGTTGTACAGATGGACCCAAAAGGAGAACCAAGGAAGACCCCACAGCCTGCATACTCCAGAACATCAATGGGTTCAGCTAAACAAAATTTTTTTTTTGCATTCTACCAGAATTTGAACTCAGCACTTCACACTTGCGAGGCAGATGCTTTACCACTTAAGCCACGCCTCCAGCCCCCAGTTTAACAATTAAGCATTATGTCAGTTATGTCAGATGACTTAACATAGCATCTGGCACAGAGTAGCAACTCAACTTCTGCCTATGAGCACTTACTGCGAATCTGAGTAGTAGTGCATGGTCCCTACCTTCTGAGAACAACCCGTAAGTCTAGTTAGAAAAAGAAGGATTAAAAGAGAATGTGCATTTGATAAGATGCCAAGGTGGAAGGCAAGAATTCAGGAAGGAACCTTGAGCAGACCACACGCATACTGCCCTCCTGTCATTAAAGACAGCAAAACACTGTCTTCAGTTCATAGTCTTGTCTAGAGCTTATTTGTCCAGAATATCATCTTCTGATAACCTAACACTGAAATTGCTAAATTTGAAATTATTTATTGCCTTTGAAGGAAAATTAATTCACTTTAGAAACAAGCTTTCTTACAAATAATTCTTAAATGAAATAACTGAGGATAAAAAATGAAGTCAGCACACTTCCTTCACTTTCCCTTTTTAACGTAACAACCTACTGCATTCCACAAAGCCCCCAGGGCAGCATTTCCGCCATTCCTGCCACTCCCACGCCCTATTACTGTGAGATAAACAATTTTCATGTAGCCTCACAACCCTGAAATTTAAAGGCAAATGCTCTGGGATTAAAGCTTCTGCCCAGACCCATAGAATAAATATTTAAATATTTAAAGTTAAGGAATTAAGTGTTCTGGGTATTTGAAGGGACTTTTCATTGTTGTAAAATGATTCCTTAACAAAGACAAAACAAAACTAGATAAAAATGAAATATTTACTTTAAAGGTCTCCTCCGCCCCCCACCCAAACTGAAGCTGTTCCTTTTATGGCAGATGTTTGCTGCCGAGAACACCGGGGCTCTCTCCAGCGAAATTCCCCTGGCAAAGGACCTTTCGAGATGTACAAAGAATCATTTTCCTAAAGAGCAAACCTTTTATGGTATTAATTTCCAGGAAAGGAATTCTAAAGAGAGCAGGCAAATGTACTGAATTTAAAATTGATCAAACTCTGTAACTTGTGCAAGATTTGGTTGTTTCTATTAATGTTAAGAAAAGAAGCTGGAGTGTACACTATTTCTTACATTCATTCCTTTTAAAGCTGATTTCCAAAACATCAAGAATAGGTATTAAAGATTTTGTTGGGAAGTACTGACTGTGCTTTACACCATATTTACTTAGTCAAATAAGGAATAAAACAATGAATCAAGGAACACAGCGCATCTTCAATTCCTTGAAACACTGAAAACACATCCTATCGGCAGTGATTTCTTCAGTTTGTTTATACTGGGCTCTCAAAAATGATAAAATATTTTTTTAATGATCAGTTTAAACTGACTGAAGCCTGCTTATTTCTTATTTTATATTCTCATCAGCTGAAAGGAAGACTAAAAACTTAATAGGGAAAACAAGTTAAAGTGTATATAAAAATTGTAAAACAAACCTAGAGAGAGGTAGATTAAGTAAAATGAAATACCTGCTTGTTCTTATACTTTTTTAGGTAGCGAGGTGACACCAAGCATTCAGGGTTTATATCAGTTGTGATCTGCTCTGGTATTAACTGAGGATCTGGGTTCAAATGCTGCATCTTCAGGAAGGAAAGAATATTCTGAACTTCTAAGTTGTAGGAACTGTCCGCCATCGTCTTGCCTTTGGAGGCTAATCTGCAGGCTGCCATCCAGTGTGCATACTGTTTTTCCTATTGAGAAGAAAATAGTGGGGTATGAAATCATGTGATGGGTCTTCTGAGTATAAAATAAGATAGATGACTGGCCAACTCATGTAGGGACTATAGCAGAATGAGGTCTACTTTAAACTGGAAAACTTACATTGTCACAACGAAGCCAGATTTCATTCATACCCTCTGCAACTGGAATCAGGAGTTTAATGTTAAATTTTTGGCCTGAAATGTTTACATCCGGGGTGACTTCACATCCTGTAATAAAAAAGTTAATTATAAAGGTACTTAAATTTACTTTTAAGAAGTCTCACGCCAATATACTAGCCTCATTTTGGGGGGTTTTAGCATGCTGAATTTTGCCACATTTTAAGATTGCTTCTGCTACAGAAAGTAACATACCTATATATGAGGGAAGTTGATATGAAAACAACTTGTATTCAGATCGACACTTCATAGGAAAGGCTTCAGAAATACATGCATTTATGGTTGTAAGAATCCAAATAATACTTAAGCATTAGCAAGGGGCTGTATACAAGAGGGTAATGTACGTGTTAAGAGTTTCTTAGCGAATACTCAGATTGCCAAAGCTTAGCTCATGTCACACACAATGTTGTGAGATCATCCAGGAGGCTTGTTGCCTAGTTCCTTACACTGGAGCAATTTCTCTTGTCACAGAAATACAAAGAATAAGTTAACAGACACCAGTGTATCCAGAAAGAACAAATGTTAAAGTACTCATTTTTCCCTCCACCTAAAAGTTTGAAGTGTTAATAACACCTTAGGTTAAGGGAGGTCCTCTTTGTTCTCCTTTCTATCATGAATTTGGTGGATGCTTCTCCCTTTTTGTTTTCTTTTTACCATATTTACTACATATAAATAGTTCCTTTGATAAGTCCTTTCATAGAAGCTTTAGAAACAAAGGAAGCTGTATGGCAATTTGTTTAATCAGCAAAGTTAAAACCAAATGATGTGTGAAGATACGCAATCTTTATACAAGTACAATCATTCAAGAGGATTTAGATTCTATAATTCTATAATAATGAGTCTCTTTAAAAACACCAAGACAACTAAAAAGGGAGAGATAAAGTGAGTGGAAAACTCAAGTTCTAGGAGAGATGCAGAGGCACTTTCTGGACCCCGCCTCAGAAAGCTTTCATTCCATGCCACCTGGGCTGCCTACTGCCATACAAATACCCTATTCTGCTCACAACCTCACAGCCTGCTTGGTTTTGGTGGTACTGGGGTTTGAAGTCAGGGCCTTGTGCTTGCTAGGCAGGTGTTCTACCACTTGAACCACACTCAACACCTCCAATCCCTGCTCTTCAAATTCTTTTTTTGTGGGGAGCAGTACTGGTGTTTGAAGCAAAGTCTTGCAATACTATTTGAATCACGCCTCCAGGCCTTATTGCTTTAGTATTTTTCAGATATAAGAGTCCTCCTACCTCTGCCTCCAGAGTAGCTGGGATTATGCCTGGCTTGTTCTTTGAGATAGGGTCTTACCAACTTTTTGCCTGGGCTGTTCTCCAATCACAATCCTCCTATCTCAAGTAGTTGGGACTTCAGTCATGAGCCACCACGCCCAGCCCACTCTTCAAATTCTTTAATTTAAAGATAAATCTTTATCTTTCACCCTTCCACTTTCTCCCTACTAGCAACATGTTCACACCTCTTCTTTCTCCCCAACCCAGCCTGGATCACATTCTCCTGTTACATCACTCCTACTTCTTAGAATACTATCTTTGCATTATACTCACTTACCAAAGTCTTAACCCTGGCTCAGTTTAACCAGCTATCTTTTACTTGCTTCTACTCAGGCTGATTAGCACTATAAGAGGGCAAGAGGAAAAAGAGAGAAGGAGAAAAAAAAACCACTGAGCAGATAGGTTTCACTAGAAATTCATGGATCCCACCCTCAACGTGGCCTCTCACACATAAGTCTTTCTGTGTTTATACAGAGACTTTGAATAATGTCATTTCAAATCTTCTCAGACATCCTACAATGTCACTCTCTCAGGGAACTTTGCCTCATATGAATGTGAGAAAATGAAACCATCAGAAGTGCAGCGCCTCAGCTTCCTGCCACCAGACTAGATAAACTCAGCTGACCTTGCTTCCACAGAGCAGTAGGAGTTTTTCCTCCTTGGGCACTCCTATCCCAGAGGAAATCCCCAGATAAGAGATTTCCCTTTCCTGGTGTCACACTTCCATCAGCATTTAATTTCAAGTCTCACCAATCTTACACCATGAAATACCTCTGTCTTGCACTGTAAGCCTCTCTGTTATCATTTGCCCTCCCTCTCTTGTCCTTGGCATAGATAAAGTTCATTAAAAAGCCATCTTTGTTTCCTATTTATTTCTCAATGATTGTACTTGCATTTTTTTTTGTTGTGTCCTCCCTTCCTCTAACCTGCCCTATTCCTTAAACTTGGGTGTTCATAGCCTTCTCGTCTCATTATATTCTCTACAATCATTCCAATGGCTGCATTTACCACTAATGGTAATTGCTACCACATCATTATCTGTAGCCTGTATAGCCCATGATCCAATGGTCTGCAGGTTATCTCCAAATATATGCCTCAAACTTAAAATATTCTAAAATTAAACTCATCTTCTTTCTTCCCAAACGCAGTTCTTTCTTCAACATCCCAATCTTAGTTTCACCCCCTCTGGCCATCTGGGTAAGCCAAAAAATGTCCATATCCTTACCCAGCCTCCTTCCAAATCAGTCACCCAATCTTGTTGATTCATCTTCATCAAATCTATTGAATTTGGTCTACCCTCCTTCCACATGAATTACTTTTTTCTCCCTTCAGTGCTGGGGTTGAACCCAGGGCCTCACACATGGCAGGCTTTACCACTTGGTGGGGACTGTAATTAGTTTTCTCTCCCATCTCCAGTACTTAACACAGTTTGAAGGACAGGAATTTAACTAGTACTAGCTAAATTGAATTTTTAGAACTTCGAATTTTAGATCTTGAAAGGACCTTAATGACAGTCCAAAACTCTCACTTTTCAGAGGAAGCTACTGAGGTTAAATCACAGGGCTTAGCCATGTGATACCTTACTTAGCCCAGTGTCACTGATGTGATATGCAGAAAAAGCGCTCCTTGAAAGGACGTGGGTAGGTGGGATGAGAACTGACAGCAGCTTGCAAGTCTATTTCTTCCAAGCCAGCCATACAGAGAGAAAAAAGACGGGGCCAGTCTCTTAAGTCAGGAGTTGGGTAATGTGGGCTGGTCCTAGCAGCTGAAAAGGGATGCAGGAAGGAAGCTGCAATGGATTCTGGAGTAACAAATAATGGAGAGCCAGAAGCAAAAGTCATGTGACTGACAGGTTAATTAAAAATTTCAAGCAAGTTACAGTGTGTATAACTGTAAAGCAACAGATGACTATAGGTCTGAGTTCACCGTGTTAGGAATACAAATTTGGACATTTTTTGGAGTATACTAAAAACATCTTTGTGTACAATGTACTAAGAAAAATTCAGAGTATAGATCAGAGGTTTAGGCTCTGGCTGGAGGTAGTGTGGAGGAAGGTTCCTTTTTCCCACACCAGTGGTTGTTTGCATAAATGCTGGCCCTAGGATGCTTTCTAGGTGCCCAGGAAGCCCAAGAGCCTATGTGGTAGCCAAGCTGTCTCCACTTCAAAAAAAGAGTATGGGTTGGGAAAGGCACCACCGTGTCTTAAGTGAAATTATTTCAGTCACTGGTTTTGTGAAATGAATCAGGGGCCTTTTCTTTGGTACTTCTATCTAAAAACAAGTACAGAAAGGTATATTACTGTATATACAATAATGCACGTGCAGGAAGAACACATCCAAAGGAGAGATGGGCTGGGTCACGAGTAACTCAAAACTGATGCAGTAAGAAAGGTGCAATCTTTCTTACAATCAACTGGAAAACAGAAAACTACCAGTGCAGCTATAAGCCTAGAGAACCGCCTCACTTATTCATCCACCCCCACCTCTACTCTGAGTCCAGCTTGGAATTCAAGTCTCATATGTATGCATCTGACTAGAGTTTCAACCTCACTTGGAGTAAGTTAGAAAATGTTTTCTAGCATTTCCAGTATATGAGAAGACACAGAAAGAGGAGTGTGGAATAGACACACCAAAGAGCCAATCTCTGCATCCTCCACCAGGCATGTGGGTGACACGGGTGGAGGACTGCTGTGTGAGCTCAGGGGAGATTGGTTCTAAGGGGACACAGACTCCTAGAGAAAGTCGGTCTAAACTGGAGGTATCACTATAGGTGAGAGGCTTATCAACAATCTGAAAGAGCAGGTAAAGTCTCTTGTAAGGACATCATAGAGAGCAGCAGTGAGATGTCCTCCACCTGCAGAAGAACCAGACCACCCTGGAGAGGAAATTCTATCACCTAAATAGTACATAAACCAGATGAAAGAGGTGAAGGAGCAGTGTGAGAACCAATAGAAGCCACCAGAACGGGAACTGAAGCTGTAGCTCCATGCTCTGAATGAAAAAAGAGAATAAAGCCAATAGCTGAGCCCTTGCCCAGGCTTAACCCAGGGGAAAGGATGCCTGTGCCCTGAAGAAACACCCCTAGTTCTCAGAAAGCTTTGGATTTGACAAAAGGAAACTCAGGTGGGCAGTTAGAAGCCTAATGGGACTTCCTAGGCTTACCTCAGGAGCCAGGCTGAGAACAAAATAAGGAAGACAAAACCAGACAGGGAAGAGGGAGAACTTGGCTAACTCCCTAAAGGTGCCAGCCACTAAACTGGTGCCAGGGAAACCAAGAGGTTAAGGACTTAGCAGGGTGCTGATGAGGAGAAACCAGCAAAGTGGAGGAGAAGACTACAACATGGTTGAATGAGTTGAAACAGACTCTGCAGGATGAGAAAAACCTAAGTGTCCTTAATGCTGAAATCAGAAAAGAGACACTAAATTTACTTGACAAGTGATAAAAACAATCATATGGGGTCTATCCTAAAGGGATCACAACAAAATATTCATGTGGAATTGAATACACAAATGGAAAACAACTAAATAAAAAATTACGTAAACTTTAAAAAAAGTATCCAAAGGAGTAAAGAAACTGCTACTCCACCCCAGCAAAGTGAAGTTTACTGAGTATCAGACTAACAGATATTCCGTAAGTCACCCTTACCTCGTAGGTTCATCTGATGAGCAGGTGTGCCACTGGATTCTTCTCTGCTCTTATAGCAAGAAATAGATGTATCTTTGAAAGTGCACCAATATTGCTTGTAACCTTTTAAAGTCAGCTTTTTGGGCCTATGTATCAAATAGAATTAAGAGAAAAACCACTTTAAAGTAACTCTGTCAATGCTATGTTTTAATAGCCAAGTTTCATATCGTTGAAGAGTATGAGCCCAGTTTTACACATGCTGACATCAGTTTCCTTTCTCCAGTGCCTCCTGGTCGATGTTGCTATTGGATGTGCCTTCCCTTCTCAAACTACTCAGCAAGATCCCATAGTGAGGGTGGAGGTCCAGGTTCCAGTATCTCTCAGTTAAAGTCACCCTCAGCACTAGCACTTCACTCACATGGAAAGGTAGGGAAAGAAAGGTAAAGTAAACCACACTTATAAGACTTCCAGGTCCCCTAATATCCTGAAGGTTCAGGAGTGTCTGCAGCGATGCCTTAGAGCTCTATAAAGAACCAGATTTACCCTGAATGACTGAAAGTGACGGAAGAGCTGAACTCTCTCAGGGATACATTCTAATGGTGACAGTAACTTGCCACTCCAGTATTAAACATGGAAGATGGCAGAGCAGTCAGGAAGGTGCACGTAGATGAAAAAGGAATATAAAAAGGGAGAAGGGAGGGTAGGATTTGAAGTCTTGCCCTATCTCACAAATACTACATATTTTGGGCTATTCTATTAGCTATAATAAATGGCTTATTCTACAATAGTTTTATATCTTACAAAGTAGAAAAAAGTACTTCCTTCCCACCTCCTTATTCCTTTTTCCTGGCTCAATTAATTGCTCCCCCCGCCCCGCCCTGATTTTTTGACACAGCGTCTTGACATGTAGTACAAGTAGGCCATGAAGTAACAATCCTCCTGCCTCAGCCTCTCAAATGTCGGGAATACAGATGTGCACCATACCTGGCTTGCCCAGCTCTCTTGATTCTACAGAATACAACTGGGTTGACTGTTTTAAAATCTACACAGATATACTGGGACCTTATATAAAATGGACCATGAGCAAATGGACATAATTCAACAGTATCAGGAGCTCTGAGTAAGGAAATAACCACTGGCAGTCACAGTGCATTGTGAACCGTTTCCAACAGAAGCTCCGCAGGGCTGTGCCACTGTATTACTGTTTCAGCATCTACATAATGCAATCTTAAAACCATCAATATTTTAAGTCCCTCCCCCTTTTTTGCACTTACTTGAAAACTTTAATATAGTCAGCAAGTTCAGGAATGGAAGTTATATCACCCTAGGGAAAGAGTTAAGTCAGATTTTCCTTGTTTTTTAATGTGAAATTCTAATGTTTGGTATCTGATACCAAGAACTAGCTTATTTAATAATTAAAACAAATAAAATTCAGAGTATAATGATATAAACGATACCATCAGATTACACTGTTGCATGACCATCTATTTTCTCTTTACAAAGGCATTTTCACACAATATAGAAAATTAGTGAAAAAAATTTTTAAAATGGCAATTTTTACAATCTCCAAGAACATATTATGTTACTTCTCAATACAGATGAAACTGTAACTGTATACAGAAACTTTTTAATCCCAACAGCCAGGAGAAAAGTTTTTCTTCAGCAATGACTAATTTCTTAGCTTTAAAAATAAAGTTATTGTGAGATTTAGTTCTCTTCCTTTTGTAATAAATCAAATAAGCAGATCACTAAATCGATTTGACCATGACTTGAGATTTAAGTTGTCCTCTCCAGAAATGTTTTTCCTCCACTAGTAAAAGAATATGCAGAGTACCAGAAGATGTATCTTTAGTTTTTGAAAGTTCTAGAGTCTGTGTAGTTTACATTAAAAAACTTCCCTGGGTTGGGGGTATTCACTCAGTGGTGGACCTATGTACAAGAGGCCCTGGGTTTGATCTCACCACTGAAAAAAAAGAAACAAAAAATCCTCCTGAAGGTTTCTCAGAAATCTATGTCTAATTTCTACAAAGCACTGTATTTCTCTTCCCCTCCCAAATACTTTCTGAGAACTGAAATCCATGAAAAGGTAAGCATAATTTAAATTCAATTGGTAGGTAAAAAAGATCCACCTACCAAAATTGTTGATGTTTTGCCCCCTTCCAAAGTAATTTCCAGGTCTGAAAGGGCAGCATCAACTTCATCCACTTCTTTGTCACTATTGTTCAAGTGATTCTCTGACGTCATGATTGACAGCTTATTGATATGGTACTGAAACCAGAAATGACATCTTACTGAAATGATTACTGTAACTATAAAACTTTAAAATGTAATTACTATCTGACTCTATATTGGATGCTTGCATTTGTTTTTCTTTTGAGATAGAGTCTCTCCATGTAGCTTGGACTAGACTTGAACTCAAGATCCTCCACTCTCAACCTCCCAAATGTTAGGATTACAGACATGTGCCACTATACCCAACTATTGTATACTCTTTTATCACCTAATTTGAAGTATCCAGAAACTAGAATGATATGAAAAAAAAAAAAACCTGCTAACAAATATTTGGATATACACCAATGAATTCATAGTTTGGAGGTCCTGCGGATGTAGAAAGTTAACAAGTTGTCTACTAAGCTGTATATGAGCAGAGATTTTAAATTTTTTTTCTTGTTGTTGTTGTTTGTTTGTTTCTAGTGCAGTCATCTCTGTATCTAATATAGGGCTTGGTACAATTGAATATTAAATAAATGTACTGAATATGCATAGTCTTCAGTAGAGATGGATTAACATTACTTGCTGTACCTTACTACTATTATCCAGAATGAAAAAATTAACACTGCCTGCCTTAGACTACTATTACTCAGGAGAAACACATCACCATTTAGCTTAGTTTCGAGAAAGGCTGAAGCCTGCGCTCCACTTTGCCCAAGTCTCAGCTCTGTATTCTCAGTTACTTAAGATTAGTTAAGAGATCAGTTTACATATGTGAACATGCACAACCACCTACACAGATATGTCTGTCTGTCTTTCTGTCTGTCTATCTATCATCTCTCCCCTCCCCCATAAGAAGGCAGAAAAATCTTTGGGTATAAAATTTTCTAAAATAGGGCTGGGAATGAAGCTCAGGGGTACAGTGCTTGCCTGGTGTGTACAAAGTCCTGGGGTTGATTCCCAGCACTGCAAATAAAATGTTTCTTTTGGGCTGGCAGAGTGGCTCACATGGTAGCACCTGCCTAGCCCTATGCTCAGGGTGTGGGGCCCTGAGTTCAAACCCTAATACCACACAAAAGAATTTTCTAAAACATGGAGCAGCTTATTTTAAATATATTTTGGTTAGTGACTTAGAACCAATATTAAAAATCAGCTAAATTTTGATGTAAGCCTTAGCATGGTTTTGGAAGGGTTTTACACAGATTAGCAGAATCTTTAACTCAGTTACCTTTCAAAGTAATAAACACTGCTCCAAATTTCTGAAGAATTCATTACTTAACAAAATCTATCTGTGGGACATTTAATTAACTAATCTGAGGCTAACTATCAATGTTCCTCTATGTTTTAAGATTTGGTAGTAACTGGGCACCAGTGGTTCATGCCTGTAATCATAGCCTTTAGGAAAGGACAGAAAGTTACCTACCCGAAGTCAGGTGCAATGACTCACTGTAATCCTAGCTACTCAACAGAATCAAGGTTTGAGACCAGTCTGGGGAAATAGTTGAGAGACCCTTATCTGAACAATACCCAACATTAAAAAGGGCTGGCAGAGTGGTTCAAATGGCAGAGGGTCTGCCTAGCAAGTGTGAGGCCCAGCGTTCAAACCCCAGCATTGTCAAACAACAACAAAAAAATTAGTAACAAATACTTTCTGGCCATACCTTTAGTCATGGTGAAAGGAGGTTCTAAAGTTATAAACAATGGAGGAGGGTGAAGCCCTCGGGCATGGCCCCAAAAGTGACTGAGAATCATGTGGAGACCTGGTTAAAGATACACATCTCTACTTCACTCCAGAGTTTGGAACCAGCAAATCTGAGGTCCAGCCTGGAATTTTCCTTTTTTTACTAAATGCCTCCAGTTAGTTTACAAGGTCCTTATAAGACAAACTGGAGGGGTTCTGGCCATGAATGGGTTCATCATAAAATCCAACTTTGTTTTCAAAGGTATGGAGTATCTACTGTTCTACACAAGGGTCCAGATATGTCAAGGACAGACAGTTTGAAGCATGGGCTATGTCTGAAATAAAAAGCACCAGATATCTCTTCACAATAATTTCAAAGTTTCTTTCTTGTGGCAGTGGATGGCATCAGTTTCCAAAAAGGCTTCTAACAATTCAGGGGATTTTGTACTCCAGAATTCTTTCAGGAAATCTAGATTCTAAAATGGTCCAGGAGGGTTACGCTTTCAGATCATTTAGCTAGTGCCCATGAATTATAATTTATGGTCCCTGAGGCACTTGTACTAATATGGGATATACATTCTCCATTAGGTAAGGGTGGGTTGCAGAATACTGCTATTTGTGTGAAAACAGGGCTGTGTTTTCACTCAACAAATAACTTTTTTTTTTTTTTTTGGTGATACTGGGGTTTGAACTCAGGGCCTCGTGATTGTTAGGCAGGTACTATGCCACTTGAGCCACTCTACCAGTCCGTTTTTGCATTGGTTTTGAGAAAGGTTCTCTCTTTGTGCCTAAGCAGGCCCAGAGTGTGATGCTCCTATTTCGCTTCCCTGTGTAGCTGGGATAATAGGCCTGTACCCCACATCCAGCCACTGGTTGAGATGGGGGGGTCTTACAAACCTTTTGGCTCCAACCACCATCCTTCTGGACTCCATGTCCAGGGTAGCTAGGATTACAGGCATGAGCCACGTACCCAGCCACCAAACACTTTCGAGCACCTACTGGATGTATTTGTTGGCTTAAAAAAATAATCATGCATTATATTTATAATAAAGAAGCAAACTCTACAATAAAGTTGAAAGTCTTTCACATATACTTTTTATATGTACTATTGTGTTACTGGCAAACTTTCACCAGAAAATTAGAAGCTTGTATTCAAAGTGAGAAAGATGAAGACAGAAAACCATAACGAAGTGAGGGATTCCCTACAAACTATTCTAGGATTTAATTCAAGAAATATACCAGGTAGTTTGACTCACTCACAACAGTATAACCAGTTGCCTAATCAAGTTTCTAGAAACAATTGATTAATCCATTTGTCAACAAAGACTTTCCTCATTTGTGTTTCTTTTCGTCTACCTCTTTCATCATGCAATCTAAGGAGAAATGAGCCATTCCTGCTTTCTAATGGCAACTTTGAAATGTAACTAAAAGTTTTTCTGGGTGCATAGGAGCATCTGAAAGACTGATAGCACTTTGTGTTCTAAGGGAAAAATAAAATCATTTGCACAGTAAGAGCTCTGCTTCCTGAGCGTCTATTTAAAGACCATCAACTATATCTGGACCTGAGGTAAAACTAGAATACCAACATAATCAGAGAACACTTGCCAAAACCTGACTCAGATGTGTGAAATTTGGTGGTCATTTCTAAGATGATCAATGTGGATACCACAATAAAACTATTTTACTAGAGGGGATTGGTATTGAGTGGATAAATCACTTTTTAGTAAGTGCCACTCTAATTCTGAAGACATTTTATGTTTAGTCTCTTGAAATCTTGCCACAGCTTATTTTGCAATGTATGTTATCCACAGCTGTTTATGAAACAATGCAGGAAAGCATCATTTCAGAAATCTAATTTTTAATATATATTTTAATTCCAAGGGAAAACTGACTAACTTTAAGCTAATATACACTGGGGAGGAGGGGGAGAATTTTTTTCTTGCAAAATACAGAAAAGTAACCAAATACACCACTAAACTCTTAAATAAGACAAAAAAACCAAACTAAAAAAACCTAAGAACCCAAATTTGTGGCGTTTCAAAGTATCCATTAGCTTTCTATATAGCAAAAAATACTATCAAATGCCATTAGAGCTGCTTCTCCACTTTAGTATTCAAAAATAACCTATACCATTTCCCCAAATAAGCCCCAGTTACCCAATCTGTCAACTACCTGCAAGGCTGCAAACATCATCATTTCTTCTTCTGTGCATTCAATCTCTTCTAGGAGAATAGCCCACTTCGCCTGCTCATAAAGTTGATTGATTCTGATTGCATCATACTGCAGAGCAAAAGAAACACTCTTGTAATGTATTATGCTTAATATCAAAAAGTTTTCGGCTCTGAATATACACTTTTAAAGCCTGACAAGAAAACAATATAGGTCCCCCAAAATTACATATTCACTATCTAATAATTCTAAGGAAGAAAGATTATTCAGTATATTAGAACTAGATTCTGGGGTTGAGGGTGTACCTCTGCTAGAGTGCACTGCCCCTTCCCCCAAAAAAACTCATGTTGTTTTCCAAAAACAAGGACTAAATATTATAGCTTTATTGTAAAAATCTAACATGAATCCAGATGTGGTTGCCCATGCCTATAATCCCAGCATTTGGGAGGCTAAGGCAGGAGGTTCACAAGTTCCAGGCCAATCTGGGCTACAGAGTCTGTCAACCCCCAACCCACCAAAAAAAAAAAAAAAAAAAAACCAAACAAACCCAAAAAACAAAAACCAAAGAAAGATATTACCGATAGTTCTCGAGACCCTATCTAAAAACGAAACAAAACAAAAAAACCCACACAAAAAAGGCTGACAGAGTAGCTCAAGTGATAGAACAACTACCTACAAGAGTGAGGCCCTGAGATCAAACCCCAGTACCGTCAAGTACAAGTAATGACACTATTATCTGAAAATGTTAACAAAACATCCCCCCCACCACCCCAGTCTACTCCAAGTAGATTTGGTTTTACTAAAAGTAGATCTGATATGGCCTGAAAACAGATTAAAATTTTTTTATAGTTCTGCTATACCCATTTTACTGTACAAATGTGCATAAGGAATTACGTAAGCACACAATGAAAGACAAGCAGATAAAATCTAGACTGTACTCTGGGCATGAAGGGGATGACAGGGTAGCCTAGCAGAGGGATGTTTTTTAACTAGATGGTTGAGAAAGATCCAAGCCTTGGGACCAAATGTTTTCTATAGAAGAAAATCACTATTTTCATAGAAAAGTTAAATCTTACCAGAAAAGCAAAGTACTGCAGTAGCACAGATGATACCAATCACAGAAAAACAGAGTAACATTCGGTTACAAACAGGAATCAATGTAGACTTAAAAAATGTATGTGAGCTGGGAATGTAGCTCAGTGGTGGAGTGTTTTAGCATGCACAGGCCCTGGGTTCGATGATCCTTAGCATCGAAAGAAACAAAAATCGTAGTGACAGAAAAAAAATTCCTTGAAGCAAGATCTTTTCACGTATAATTAGTAATTTAAAAGAAACACGAAAGGTAATTTATTATTTTTTTTTAGTGGCAATGGGGGTTGAGCTCAGGGCCCCATGCTTGCTAGACAGGTGCTCTGTTTGTGTCAGCCATTATTGCTTTGGTTATTCTTGAGATAGAGTCTTGCTTTACACCCAGGCCAGTCTGAGCTGCTATACTCCCACTTGTGCCTCCCTGCTAGCTGGGGGTAACAGGTGCACGTACATCCATTGGTTGAAATGAACTTTTTTTTCCTTTTTCTTTTGCCGGCCTGAAACAGTGATCATCCCTATCTCTACTTCCCAAGTAGCCAGTATTATAGACTTAAACCACAGAGCCTGGCCCAAAAGGTAATCATTCAAAACAAAACAAAAAAACTTTTCTTGGGCTGGAGTAAAAGGTAATTAAAAGAAAAAAACCAAAAACCTTTCTTGGGCTAGAGTTGCGGCTCAAGCAGTAGAGTGCTTTCCTCCTAGCAAGCACGAAGTCCTAAGTTTAAACCCCAGTACCACCAAAAATCAAAGAATGACAAAAATACTTTCTTTTCCTTACTATAGTTGAAGAAAGGTGCTACATTAAAAACAACAACAACAAAAAAACTAAAAAAAACTTTACCAGTTTTGTAATACCAAACTAGTACTTTGAGAGAGAGAAGAAACAGATCCCTTTAAACCCTTGGTACCTTTGGATTCAAATCAAAAAAGCTGTAATACTTGAATCGGAGAAGCAAGGCCTCATTTTCCTTCACATCTTGCTCCATAAGAGATCTTGAGGAATCAAGCCACCTGAACAAATCAGTAAGAGCAGTGGAACAAACAAAACAGAATTAATAAGATTCCTACAGCTAGCTAAATAAATTCTTCAATTGTATCTGTATCTTGGAACTTACCCTTGGTTAATTTTTGCTTTATCGAGAAGAGCTTGAGGCTTGAACATTTTTGCTAAGATTTCTGGTGATGTGATTGGTTGACTGACAGCAAGTATACCAGGATTGCCTTCTGACAGAGCACTGTCACCAAACCAAGCAGAAGTTGGTGACAGGGGGCTCCCATCATGAGCATCATAAGTGGGGGTCATTGTCTTACTATACAGTCCTGGGCTTGAATATATACTTCCTGATGAGTAACAGGAAAAAGAGGTAGTAAGTGTGCAGTACAGAACTTTAGATTTTAGCGACAACAAACACAACAACATAAAGCACAATATAATTCTGGAAGGAAAGCTTAAGCTTAGTGCATTATTTTATGTCTCAAAACATGTGAAATGAACTCCATGTGGATAGCATTAGCTCATGTAATACAAAGCTGTAAGAATGTGACTAAGTTGGCAGAAATTCTGCGGAAAGTTGGTTTAAGGAATTAGAAAATACAGATACAGCTGAAGCAGACAGACCAACACTTTTTGTGTCCAGCTGTGGTAAGGCTCACCTTTCAGAGGGCCAATGTAAAGAACATCGGTGCCTACAGGAAAGGAAAGAAAGGAATTCAGAAGGTAAAGGAAAGGCAACCTAAGAGGACAGAAACAAAAGAATGAAAGGAAAATGGGAAAAAGTAAAACAGATTTTTCCTAGTCCTGAATTATAAACAAAAATACGTATTTCTAAAGGATTTAAGAGTAAAGAACCTTAGAAGCACCAATGTAAGTAAGTCAAGGTTTTTGTTCATTTCAAAAGAATGAAGTTGCACTCTAGTGAAGCATACAGTGACACGTCTACAACATTTATCATCATTTAAAGATAGCCCAATATAAATAAATAAATTCATGTAAATTAGGAGAATGATTTTATGTGAATGTTTCCTCAGTGAATAAATTAATTTCAACAGATTTAGAGATAAAGTATTAACATGAATAGGTGGATAAGATTTTGCTCTAGAAAGACGCTAACAAAGATACAGTTTATATTTGAACTCCTAAAATTAGAGACGCCATCTTATTATTACTTTTTTTTTTTTTTTAATGATTCCTCATAGAATAGGGCTAGGCACAGAGTAGAGGCTACATAAATAAAAGCTTGTTAAATGACTCAACCGATGATGTATGTTCCTTACCCTACAAAGTTAAGGATATAAGGGCTGGGACCTGGTTCAAGTGGCAGAGCACCTGCCTAGCAAGCTGAAGGCCCTGAGTTCAAACCCCATTACCATTAAAGTTAAGGAGATTAAAGACATTTTATTTTACTTAGTTATTTTTTTTGGTGGGACTTGGGTATGAACTCAGGGCTTCAGGCTTTCAAAGCAGGTGCTGTATTACTTGAGCCATGCCTCCAGTCCATTTTGCTCTGATCATTTTGGAGATGGGTCTCATGCATTATTTGCTTGGACTGGCCTTGAACCGAGATCCTCCTGATCTTGGCCTCCCAAATAGCTAGAATTACAGATGTGAGCAACCTATACCCATTGAGATTAAAGACATTTTAAAGTTCAGAATGATACTAAGTAAAAGCATCTCCCTAAATTCTAACTCCCTTGAATTATATTTTGTCCTGTAGTCATAATTTTTGAAAAGAAATCATGTAATGGATATAATGTTGTTAATGGATGATGGAAAGAAAATAATTTTTCCCATTACCTGGTTGAAGAATATGCTTACAATAATCCCTCTCTTTACCTAACTTCTTCCTCTCATCCCATGCAATGACAGAAACAATTACCTGTGAAAAGGTGGTGGTAATGCTAGATTTTTCTAGTTGACACGCCCTAGTCTAGGAAGAGAAGGCAAAGTAAAAACCAAAGGATTTTTACTGAAAAAAATGTGATCTCTTGCTAGCCACAGAATTTCTATCTGCTTTGATGTTGCTTATTTGCACACTTCCAATATTAGTTCTAAAACAACCCGTAAGACATGAGCATTATGAAATATGAAGCAAAGCTGTGGACTCACTTTTCAATGGGGCTTTATTCAAAAGCGAACCTTAAACTAGACAAGTGACTTTCAAAATTAAAACTGTGTGATGCCTTTGTGAAGGGTTAACTGGGCAACCTACACTTATAATTACACTGTGGAAAACATTAGCGCTAAGCAGAAACTTGCTTATTCCAAAGATCTGTTAAATCTTTCACTAAGAATGTCAGAATATTGAAAACCTGTTTCTAGTATAATAGGCTATAATTACTATTCAAAATTAAGTAAAGTTAGTATTAGTCAATTTTCTTTAGGAAGATGCTAATACAGAAAATATACTTCCCTAAATCACATTTAATAGATCCAGCCACCCACCAAGTCTCTTCCCACTCAACTTCCTATAGCATATATACTTCACACCTTGTATTTTATCACTTCACTATTCTTATTTGTTCTATGGGCACTATACGGTAGTAACTCATTTTGTGTTCCCAATAAGTCTGTTTTCTTTTTAGAGATTAAAGAACTTTTTCAAGGTCAAGAGCAAGTAATTTGCACAGCTAAGATAAAAATCAGCCAGTCTTGTTTGCTTGCAGCTGTACACACTGTCTTCCTGTACTGTAACTTATTTAAGACAGTCCCTACTAGTGTTTATCTACTTGTTTAGGATCTTATTATTGATGTCACAATTGCACATAAACCTTCAATAAACACTGTTCTACTTATTTCTCAATTCTAGTTTCATTACTGGGTCAAAGGGTACACATAGTTCAAATTCCTTTAGGTCTGTTCAGAGACAATCCTAACTAGCTTGCTTTCCTATTTGCCTGGTTTTAAAAACAAAAAACAAATACAAGGGAACAGGCAGCAGCAGATTTAGTCAGCAGCAAATTTTATGTTTCCCAAACAATATGGAAAGATATGACCAAAACAGAAATAGTGCTCAAAAGAAGAAGAGTTACAACACTACAGTATGGGGCCATCTACTACATCAAAAGCCCGATGTACCAAATAGTCTGAGAATATTGTGACATTTTAACACAGTAAAATTAGCTTCATAACTCAATTTATTAGACCATACATTATTCTATATATATTTAAAAGAGCACTAAAATATTTAATATATTTCAGAACATTTTTAATCAAAATGTGTTCACATTACCATACTTAAAAAACAAATTTCAGGCTCAAGTGGAGCTCAATGGTAGGATGCTTACCTAGCATACCCTATCCTGGTTTTGATTTCCAGCACAAAAAATTACATGTGAATTAAAAAATATAAGTGCAACATTGTAGATACATTAAAGTGTATGCTCATAAAATAATTATAAAAGTGTTTAAAATATTTTAATGGTATTTGTGAGTTTTTTTTTTGGAGAGAGGGTCTTGCTAGATATAGATAGTCTAGGTTAGTCTCAAACTTATGCTCCTCCTTCCTTCTGCCTCCCAAGTGCTGGGAGTACAGATGTGCCTCACAACACCCAGAAACTGATTACTGTTGTGGTGCTGGGGACAGAACTCACAGCCTTGTGCATGCTAGGCAAGTGCTCTACCACTAAGCCACATCCCCAGCACTGAGATTTTCTTAAGCAAGAATGAAAACCCAGAACTATAAAGCATGTAACTAAGAGGTGTGACTATACAGAAATGTAAACTTAATACAGTAAAATAAAAAAGGCCATGAACAAAATGCCAGTACACAGGAGGAACAGTCTAACATAGCAAAAGATACTATCACCAAAAACTAAAATATAAATAAGAGAAAGAAAAGTTTATTATGTGAAATTCATAGAATAGGAATGTCTAATAAATATATAAAATTTTCAATGTCACTAGTGTTTATTACGAAAATGCAATCTTTGAGATACTATTTATTGTCCAATTGGCAAAAATTCACTTTCACCAAGATTGACAGGAATGTAACTACAGAAACATTCTAGAACATGTTTAAAAACAAAAAAACTAGATACCTCTTAAGCACAGAAATAGATAAATACAGCTCTTCTTTATGGAAAACTTTAAAGTCATTTATAAGAACTTGAGAGACCTCTCTGCTCTGATGTAGAAAGGTCACTAAAATAAAAAACATACTGTTCAGTGAAAAAAAATCAAACTGCAGATCAATATACAATATGTATTGGTATCTTAATTCTGTTATCAAAAACAAACAAAAACCTAGAGGCTGGCAGAGTGGCTCAAGTGGCAGACCATCTGCCTAGCAAGCGTGAAGCCCTGAGTTCAAACCCCAATACTAAAAAAAAGGCAAGCAAGCAAGAAAAAAACTAGACATGCACATATATACTCACACACATGTACAGGGATAGATAGAAAGGGTCTGTAACAATACCGCTATGAAGAAATGGGTAACTCTTGAGAGAGAGTAACCAGGGAATAAATTTAAGACGAAACTTTCATCTTCGGTTTAGTATTTTTCTGTGTTATTTGAGTTTATTATAATAGCACTGTATTCAATGCATGACTTCAATAATGTAAACAGAAATTAAGTTCATTAGTACAGATTACTGACTAAAGAAAACACTGTGTTTATTACACAATTCTGCTTTGAGAAAAAACAAACTGAAAAAATACACAATCCTGCAATATTCAAGTATTTACTATAAATGTTACTTTCGAAAGAATAATTAAAAAAAATATTTTGACTCTTAAAATGGCCAAGTTCCAGTTATGAAAAAAGGCATCGTACATCAGCGATTTTCCTAATAGTGCCAAGTGGGTGAGAGTACTAATTATTTCCTCTAAGGATAGGAGCCTATTCTGATTGCCACTTCACATGTCAAGACAGTGTAACGATTTCTTAGGGAATTTAAAATTTCTTTTATTTTTTCTTGAAGGTAAGCAAGGGTTCAAAAATTAAGTGAAAGCTGCATTTGGTAAAATGAAGGGCCTGTGTATCCTCGCTAACAGCCTAAGGGGGAAGGAGGGTGTGTGGCATGCTGCTTTGGAGCGGGACAGACATGGCTCAAACCTCGCCTCGCCCCTTCATTAGTCATTAGGTGCTTGCTCCCAGGCAAGTGACTTAGTCACTCTGAGTTTCTCAGGTTATCTATTTTTCAGAATTGTTGTGAGGATTAATATACATGTTACATGCAGTGTTTGGGACCAAAAGTTGTTCAATAAATATGGCTTTAATAATAGCAACATTCTAATTGGTTTTCCTTTCTGAAAAAGATTCCTTGCAAAGAAGTAGTGCAACGTGTTACTTAGGGCATTCAGAGGTGTCCAAAGGCCCAGCCTCTGAGAGCAGAGACTGAAGACTGGTACACAAACCAGAATTAATAGCTGCAGTCTGGGTGAAAAGGGAACTGCAGGTAGTAAAAACAAGGGAGCCCAGGATTGGAGAGAGTAAAAAAAGGCAGCCAGAAACTTGGCAGTTTGGGGATAGTACTAAGGTACAAGCTTGAATCTAAAGTAGAGGCTGTTAACTTCTAATGACAATGCACAGTAAAACTGGACACAGTCAAAATTACCCTTGAACTCTCTCTCAAATAGGCTCCACTGTCTTTGATCACCAGGTGAAGTACAGCAGGAATTCATTTTACCATTTAACTGACTTACCTGCTCATCTATTTGCCTCAATATTCGCTCTACAAAAATTACTGCAATAGGGCTTAGAATGTAGCTCAATGGTAAGAGTACTTGCCTAGCATGTGTGAGGCCCTGTGATAGATCCCTAGCACAGCAAAACCAAAACCAAACAAAATGCCTGGTGTGGTGGGGTATGCCTGTAAACCCACACTTGGGAGGTTGAGATAGGAAAATCAAGAGTTGGAGGCCAGCCTGGGCTCCATAGAAAGACCCTGTTAGAAATAAAAAAGCTCATATGCTAAGCTGGGTGCCAGTAGCTCATGCATGTAATCATAGCTACTCAGGAGGCAGAGATCAGGAGGAGCACAGCCCGGGCAAACAGTTCTTGAGACCCTATCTGAAAATACTGAAAACAAAAAAGGGTTGGTGAAGTGGCTCAAGTGGTAGAGCACCCGTCCAGCAAGTGAGCCCTGAGTTCAAACCCCAGTACTGCCAAAAACAAACAAAACAAAAACCAAACTATGTGCTATAGACATGGTTTATGTAAAAAAGATTCACAACTCCAAGCAGCAGACCACACTAAAAGAAAAGGCCTTTACCCCCCACATAAAAAGCTGACAAAGAAAATACAGTTAAGCTTTTAACTGTTTAAGCTGCTGACTTAAAAAAATAAATTACCTCCTTTAACTGACTAGGAAAAAACCTGGCTCGAAACTCTCCCTTTGTGTTGGAAAAACTGAGCTTCTAATGGTATCTTTTAACAGTACAACCTGTTTAGGGGCCTGGTGGAAGTCCAAATTATCACCTGTGCAATTATCAGAAGTTTCCATCACTCTTTCCATCACCTGCTAGAATGGCTCACAGAATTCAGGGAAATAGTTCACTAACTAGATTATCAGTTTATTATAAAAGGATACTACTCAGGAGTAGCCAGATGGAGAGGTACACAGGATAAGTTATATGGGAAGCACACCAAGCTCCCCTGCCTGTTCCAGGGACATCACCTTGTAGCACCTCCACATGTCCATCAACCTGGAAGTGTTCTGAATCCCATGCTTTTGGGTATTTATGCAGGCTTAACTACATAGACATGACTGCTTAAGTAACTGGTCATTGATGACTGCTGTGGTTTGGACATGGTTTGTTCCCCACAGGTTCAAGTGTTGGAAGCTTGACCCCAGTGTGGCAATGTGAAGAGGTAGTACCTACTAGAAGGTATTTAGATCACTGGGCCACTGCCCTCAGAAGGAAATAAGATGAATTCTTGTGATGCTCTGAGAGGGTTGTTATAAAAAGAGCAAGCCTGACCCTTGACTCCTGCTGATTTCCTGTCTTGCCTTATGGTTTGTCCCTCTTGCACATGTTCTCACCACTGGTGATGCCATGTGTATGAGGTCCTCACCATGGTGCTGACACCAGCACCGTGAAGCTCTAGACTGTGAACTAAATAAACCTTTTCTATGAGTTACCCAGTCTCAGAGATTTCATTACTGTAACAGAAATTGGACTAATCCAGTAATCAACTCACTCCATAGAAGTTTGGGTGATGAATGAAGCCTCTAATCACATAGTTGGTTCCTCTGGCAACCAGCCCCCATCCTTAAGTGCTTTCCAAAAGTTGTCTCATTAGCATAAACTCAGGTGTGGTTAGAAGGGGCTTGTTATGTGTAACAAAACACTTCTTCATGGCTTTTATTACAGGGTTTTAGGAGCTCCACCAGAAACAATGAAAGAAAACCAAATTACGTATTTTTTATTATGTCATAACATATTCTCTTTTACCTCATCAGTGTGTGGGCTTCTATTACTACCACTACCCTTCCCTTCCATTCCCTCCTCCAAAATTACTGACTGGAATTAAATTCAATACTCTTACTAAAATAATGATTTGCTCATTTTGTAGTATATTCAGAAACCAATGCCTCTGTAATGCACTAATCTAAATTCATTAGCCTCCCATTAAATGCCCGTCAGTGTGACCCTGGAGGACCTTGGAAGCCTCTCCTCCATAAATTAGCTCAACTGATTTATTCCTATCTTATATTTTTCTTCTGTTAGGACGTTCTTTATCAAAGTCATTCTTTCTGCTTGGATCGCCTTTTCTTTCCATCAAAATTCTAGCCACTGGAACTTAAAGCTTAATTAACAAACTTAGTTCTCATTCCATAAAACTGAATATACCCTAACTGGGATAATAATTGTGTTTTCTGAATTCCCAAAACACTGTTTTCTACAACATTCATTTAGTATTTAGTACCTCCTTAAGTACAGGAACTGTGTTTTTCAACTACTTAAGAGTAAAGAATTGTCTTATTTCTCTGTATCTCTCAAAATGAATTAAATTAGTAAAATTAGTTCAGACATTTGCTGGAGGGATCCATCCTACGCAATGGATTTATAAATAGGCAGCCAATGAAACGTAGGAAACTGAAATGTTCAGACCATGAATATGTCCAGGACCCAAGAACTATGTAACCTACTTGGTCATCCAGCTACCCAATAGGCATTACCTACCTACCTGATGTATGCCATATGCTGAGTATAGGTACTGAAAACAAACACAAGAGAGGGGCCCTTTGTGCATTTATTAGACTCAAGATGCAAATATAACATTAAACAAAGAAAAGCCTGATGACTTCTGATAGAAAATTACCTAATTCAGGCTGGGGAAATAATAGGTAGAAATCTGTTCATTCAAAGGAGTGAACCTTAGATACTAATACCATATGGAAGACATCAGTCTTTAAAAAAAGAGCTACAGTGGTAGAACATCTGCCTACCCAACACAAGGCCCTGGTTTTGATTATCAGAATTAGGGAAGAAAACCAAATAAGCACTCTTAGGAGACTAAGGGACCAGCATATGCACAGGAGTTTTAATTTAAGTGTTTTAGATTATAATGTATTAACTAAATACTGGTGAGTTTGAGAGTTTACATACTAAAAAACGTTAGTTAGCACAAACTAAAGAACTGAGTCCAGTTACGAACTGTATCTTTTTTGACTCTCTGAGCAAAAGAATCAGGCTTCCTCTTATTGAGTCATCTATTACCGCATGACATGGTGATATGCATATGACAAAAAAAGTAAACAACAGTAATTCCGTGACTGGGGAAAAACTGTGAGGGAGACATGATTTGTTTTGTTTTTTAACTTGACCACTGTTCTGCCAACATGATCCATTTACCTTGAACTGAAAGAAGACAGTCCAGGGTCTCACTTTCAACCCCTTGCTTAAAGTCTCACCTGATCCAGGAGTGATAAGAGGTCCTTCTAATTCAAGTGCCTCATCTTCAGATTGGTCATCTAGCTTTTTCTTTTTTTTCTTTGTTGGATCTCTGGGCTTTTTTAAGAGAGAAAGTTCTTCAGGGTGTCTGATATCTGTTAAGAAAGAAAATAGATGAATTAAAAGAAATACCTTTTATATTGTCTGCTTAACCTATTTCAAGATATGAATTTGTCATTTCCTTCTGCGTATGTGTTTAAATTCTTCCAGACATGGATATCATATGGAGGACTGATGCACTTAAAAAAATAATCTACAGTGGTAGAATGTCTACCTAGCCTGTATAAGGCCCTGGGTTCAACTCCCAGCACTGGAAAAAGCAAAACAAAACCAAAACAACAAACTCTACCAAAAGAACTCTTAATTCATTAATACCTAGTAAGTATAATGAATGACCCTAGAGAGATAATCCATTAATGCACAGAAAGAAAATATTTGAACCCTATTTATATATTTATTAATGCATTTATTTATTTTTTATGTAAGACTAGAAAGTAAAGCTTTATATTACAGTCTTCATTCATTCTATACATCATAAGGTACATGACCCATGAAACAAATGTAATGATTACCTCTAGGTCATTAATAAATCTCTAATTTAACCAATTCCAACTTGGCCATGTATTGGATGGTATATCTGTTTTAGGATTTTTTTTAATTCTCTTTTTCCCCCCATATATATTTTCATTTGAATCTTGTGAGAGGCAAAATGGCTAAATGAAATTCACAAAAAGAAATTAAAGCTTTCTTACGTATCATACTACATATATTATACATCGTGTTCATGAACTATGAGACTCAATGTTAAGTCAGTTCTCTGCCAGGCGCTGGTGGCCCACACCTATAATCCTAGCTATTCAGGAGGCAGATCAGGAAGATCAAGGTTTGAAGCCAGCTATGGCAAACAGCTCGTGAGACCCTGTCTTGAAAATACCCAACACAAAAAAAGGGTAAGTTGGCAGGCAACTTGCCTAGTCAGTGAAAAAGATGCAGTGATGTAACAGCTAAAACAAGACATGTGGTTGTTAGTGTTTAACAAAACAGCCCTAATCCTGCCAGGAGTTATCATCAAGGATTTTGTAGTTGTCTTCCTAACTAACTATGTATTAGGATAGTTTGAGAATATATGCTAATTACTATTTTTTTAAAAAAAGAGTTTATTGAAATCAATCAGTAACACCAAGAAAAGCCCTAATATGTAATATTTTTCTCTGAAATGGATGTGAAAAATGTAAACTTTCTAACAGTGTTATTTATCTGGTTCATTTCTAATAGGATTTCATGTTGTGGTTAATAAAAGCATTTTCTTCTCTCAAAATATAAAGGGGGGGGGAGCGCTTTTGGAGTGGCTCCAGTAGAGTGCCTGCCTAGCAAGTGAAAAGTCCTGAGTTCAAACCCCAGTACCGTAAAAAAAAAAAAGTAGTCGGTTCTCCCTAAACTGAGGTAAGACACTCAATGAGATCCCAGTCAAGCTTCCAATTTTTTTTTTTTTGGTGGAAATTGACAAGCAGACTACAAATTTATATGGAAATTAAAACAATACTAGCAGAATCAAAACAATCTTTAAAAAGTACAAAAACTAACATTAATTCATCTTAAGACATCACAAAGCTGTAACAACAGAGCCAGTGAAGTTACTGGCTAAATTAAGACATAAAGATAAATGTTTTTATCCAAGACATTTATAATAATGTCTTAAAGAGAAGGATAATTAAAGAGAAGTCCCTAAACAGACCTAGAAACAGGTGTGCAATAATGTTTGACAAAGGTGCCAAGGCAATCCAAGGGGAAAGGAAAATCTTTCAACAAATATTCCTGAACAATGAGTGATGTGTGTGTTATTTTTCCCCTCTTTTTGGCAGGACTGAGTTTTGAACTCAGTGGCTTGGGCTTCCTAGGAAGGCACTCTACCACCTGAGACACCCATCCAGCCCTTTTTGCTTGGTTATTTTGGAGACAGGGTCTTGCTTTTTTTGCCCAAGCTGGCCTGGACCACAGTCCTATTTTGTGCTTCCTACTGTTGCTGCGATGATAGGTGCATGCCACCACACCCAGGTTTTTCCCACTGAAAAACTTTTTTGTTTGGGTTTGGCTGGAACCATGATACTCCCGATCTCAGCCTCCTATGGTTACAAGCATGAGGCACCAGTGAGTGAGTCACATGGTCTTAAAAAAGAACGTTGACACTTATGTAACTCAATATGCAAAAATCAATTTTAAATGGGCAAGTATAACAGCCAAAACAAAACTAGAAGAAAAATAAGGTTTCTTACATAGGATATACCAAAAAAGGTACCATAAAAATTACCCTTTATTAAACAATATTAACCAAACGTTCTCAATTCATTGGACAAAAGATTAATTTCCAGAATGTATAAAGAGCTCAAAAATTAAACACCAAAAAACCCACAAAGGATCCCACTAATAAATGGGGAAACAGAAAGTTCTGAAGGTGTATAACAAATGGCTAATAAACACACGAACATCCTTGGCCATGAAGGAAACTCAAATCAAAACAATACTGAAATTCCATCTCGCTCCAGACAGAATGGCTGTCAGCAAGAAAACAAACAATAGCAAATGCTGGTGAGGATATGGGGTGGTAGTGGGGAACGAACTCTCAACACTGTTGGTGGGAATGTAAATTAGTCCAGCCACCCTGGAAATCAGTATGGAGAGGCTCCTTAAGAAACTAAAACTACCATATGATCCTGCTGTACCTGGGCAGCAAATTCGCATACATGAGAGACACCAGCACACTTGTCTTTATAGCAGCACTATTTACAATAGCCAAGCTATGAACCAGCCTAGGTGGCCAGTAACTGATGACTGGATAAAGAAAATGGGTGTGATATACACATACGTGTGTGTGTGTGTGTGTGTGTGTGTGTGTGTGTGTACAATGGAGTACTATTCAGTCATAAAGAAGAGTGAAGTTATGTTGTTTGCAGGAAAATAGATGAAAGTGGAGATCACTGTGTTAAAGCAAGATATGCCAAGCTTAGAAAGACAAATATCCATGTTGCAGAATCTAGACCTAAAAAAAAAAAGATAGTATGATACAATTGAAACCACTTAGGTACAGTTTATGCTACTAAAAATTAAACTAAAAAAATGAACCAACCTGTTCTTTGAAAGATCTTGTTTAGAAAACAAAGAGGCAAGCATATATTGGGGCAAAATATTTCCAAGTATATCTGACAAAAGACATGTATTCAGAATATATGAAAAATCCACGCAACTCATTAAAGACCAGTGGGCCAAAGATCTGAGCAAGCAACTGCATCAAAGACACAGCAATATACATCCACCAACGTGGCCAGCACTTAAAAGACTCGCCATAGCCAATGTTGGATATTGTACATGAGGGCGTGAAGAAGGAAGTGAATGTTTATACCTAGTCAGTGGGAATGTGCCATGAGACAGTATGTGAAAACAGCTTAGTGCTTTCTTATAAAAGTTACATGTACATCTCCACACAACTCAGTCTTTTCCTATTGAGGAAATGAAAAGCACATTTATAATAGCTTTATTCTCAAACTGGATAAACAAAAAGTATGACATTTGCATATCAACAGAAATATGACTTACAATAGAACACAACTCATCAGTAAAGAAAAAGCAACCTATTGACACATAGAATAAAATTGATGAATCTAAAAAAATTAACATATTACACAGAAGCTCACTGGAAAAAGAGAACATGCATAACTAATAAATGATTCCATTCATAAAATGCCAGCAACTCTATAGTGACAGAGGCAGGTCAATGACTGCTGGTAGCTGAGGTTTGAGAGGTAATGAAAATACCCTTTTCTGATTGTAGGGGTTTCACAGATATAAAACATACATCAAAACTCAAATTATACACTTAAAATGTGTACTTTCCTGTGCATCAATGACATCACAATTAAGATAATTAAAATAACAAAGAGGTCATTTTCGTTCTCTTGAGAGATGACCTGCTTTCAGTCTATTGAAAGTATATTCCTTTCCTAATAAACTTTACTATCACTTCTACTACCAAAAAATTGAAATAAAGAGTATGAGGAGATGGAGAGATCAAAAACACAGAAAAAAAGAACAAAGGGGGGCAGCAGAAGTTACTAGGTCTTCTTACCATGTTTGGCAGCACTACACTATGGGCCAGGTATGCAGAGAACAGACAACACCATGCAAATCACTGTGTAACTTTTAATGCACACTGCTATGCATGGCTCAATTACTCGATCAGTTTTACATATGGCAGTTTATACAGCGTCAACAGCCCACCTCATCTATGAGATTCAACACACTATTATAAATACAGGAAGTTTTCTGTAGGAAACCTCACACTAGGAGCTATCATACTGCTTAAGGGCCGAGAGGCACAATTTAAGGTAAGAAGCACACAGCCACACGATATAGGTTCAAATCCCAGCTCCACTATCTATTAGCGGTGTGACTTTAGGCAAGCTATTCAACCTGTTAAGTGTCTGGGTTTCCTTATCAGTCAAATGACAATAATAATACCTCAGTAACACATGTAAAAATTAAATGCACATAACAATCAGATCAGATATAACAGAATTCTCCTCTTACCTATGAGGGACATGGTCTAAGAACCCTAATGGATGCCTGAAACTTTAGGTCATACCAAACCCACACACATACTGACTTTTTTCTGTATATACATATCTAAGATAAAGTTTAATTCACAAATTAGGCACAGTAGGAAGTTATTACCAAGGATTTCTTCTTATACATTTGGGATATAAGGTTAACCCACTTATCCTCAAATGTAACTTTGGCGGGGGGGTTGATGTATCAGCAGTAATTACAAAGACTGGGCACATCCAGAAACTCAGAAGATATTTCAAATGCACCTTTTGAGCCATATTTACCTAATTAATACGAATGAGTCGTTATCTCCTAGGCTACTTTTTAAAGGAATAAGATTTAAGTGCTGAGAGACTGTGACAGTAATTGTAGCATGTCAACTTGACTAGATTGAGAAGCACCTAGAAGATAAGGAAATCACACTCTGGGAGTGTCTGTGAGGGGTTTCCAGGGGGAGATTAACTAAAGGGAGACCTGCCCTAAACCTTGAACACTG